CTGACCCCTGATATATTTATAAGCTGTCACCAAATCCCCCTGAAATCTTCTCGTTTCTAGGCTGAGCAGTCCCATATCTGTTGGCCTTTGCTCGTATGACTTGCTCGTCAGGCCTCTAATCATACAAGTAGCTCTATTCTGGACTCTCTCAAGCCTCTCCACATCCTTTTTGGAGTGTGGCAGCCAGAACTGGACACAGTACTCGAGCTGTAGCCTCACCAATGCCAAGTAGAGCAGGAGAATAACTACCTTAGTTTTGCTTGAGATGCACTGGCTGATACATACCAATGTATTATTTGCTCTGCTAACTGTAATATCACACTGGTGGCTCATATTCATTTTATGGTCAATTATGACCCCCAGGTCCCTTTCAGATGTGGTGCTAGCTAGTGTAGCACCACTGTGCCTGTAAGTTTGTTACAGATTTTTCCTCCCCAGATAGAGCAATTTACACTTTTCAGTGTTGACCAGCATCTGGTTCTGCTCTGCCCATCTAACTAATCTGTCTAGGTCTGCTTGGATCATCAGCCTATCCTGATGCATGGCTGCACTTTCCCACAGATCAGTGTCATCAGCAAACTTTGCCAGTGTGTTTTTCATCCCTACTCTTGATCATTGATGAAGATGTTGAAAAGCACTGATCCAAGTGCCAAACCCTGGGGGACCCCACTGGTTACCTTCTGCCAGGTTGACACAGATCCATCTATTAGTGCTCTCTGGGTCTGACCCCACAGCTAGTTTCCCACCCATCTGATCATTGAATTGTTGAGCCCATACTCCCCTAGTTTTACCTTGAGAACTGCATGGGACACCAAGTCAAAGGCCTTCCTAAAGCCCAACCTCATCTCCCTTATCCAGGTGGTGAGTAACCTGGTTGTAGAAGATGATGAGGTTAGTCAGACATGATCTACCCACGACAAAACCAGGCTGGCTGTCATTCAGAATTTTGTATTCTACTACTTTATTGCATATGGACTCCTGGAGAAATATTTTAAGGATTTTTCCTGGGATTGAGGTCAAACTGATAGTCCTATAGTTCCCTGGGTCTTCTCTCATGCCCTTCTTGAAGATGGGCATAACTCTTCCAGTCTTCTGGGATCTCTATTGAGTCCACAGATTCTCACAGAGGTTTGCCAGCAGTTCTGCAATGACTTTGGCTAGTTCATTCAGTACTCTCAGATACAGTTCATCCAGTCCCACTCACTTATAGATATCCAGCCTCTCTAGCTATTCTTTCACCAGCTCTACATTGACTGTTGGTAGGTGATCAGCCCTACCGTCCCTTCCGACTTTAATTTTCTATGATTCTATTCTATGTTCACCACCTATCACTTCCTCTTGGTAACAGTGATATGAAGCCTCCTTTCCCAGAAGTGCATGGCTTTCCCTCTCCTGCCACTGGAGTGGGCTCCTTCTCATCCAAAGCCAGGGATGAGAAGAAGAAATAAGAACCTGTTCTCCAGCCAGACAGTCACAGGTCTAGATGAGTACTGTCTGTTGCCAGAGGTGACAAAGTTCTACCTTCCTGAGTATCTGTATATTCCAATGCCTTCTCTGGCTCACTCTTCCATGATGCTGGAGGTTTCTTTATGCATTGAGTCAATGAAGTCCTTACGCTCCCAGATGGTTCTGAGACTATCCACCTCCTCCTGCAGCTCCTTTACCTGTTTGCCAAGAGACTCTCCCAGGATTGGGCCCCTTAAAGCTGGCTAGGAGATATGCTGTTTCTGAGGACTTTCATTTGAAGAGCTTCAAAAAATTTTTAAAGATATCCTTCCACAGAGAAGTCCCAAGTCAAGTCCTGGGTACGAATCTCCTACTGGAGTACTGGCTTTTATCTCTGGGACAAATGTGTCCTTGGTAACCATCTGAGGTGTTTGGGAAGAGGCTGCTGCCATTGTCCTGCTCACTAGGGGCTGTCAGCTCTAAAACTCATCTCCTTTCTGGGTTTAAGAGAGCCTGGATTTGATAACTTTCTGGACACCGTTCCAGCTCATTTTTTTCCCCCCAGAAAGGTATGTGATTTATTGGGGTCAGTTATGAAGATCAGTTGGTTAGTTATGCATATTACAGCCCCCTTCAGTAAATTAATTTATTGTAGTAGAATGGCTGGGGCCACACCCATAGTATTTGTTGGCATGGTGTCTTTCAGAATTCAAGGTAATAAGCAAATCCATTTTTAATCTTTCTGTTCTGGATTGATCACAGAGATATTCAAGTGAAGTTCTTCAAAATGAATATACAGACAGATAGAGAGTAATTAAAACCATGAAGGAATAAGAGGTGCCAGAGGCTTTTACCTTCAGGAACACTGTTTCTAATTATGAATCATTAAACTTAGTTAAAGAACAGTATAACATCTACACTTGTTCTCTAATAGAGCGGGGATAGGGAAATAGAAAAAAACACTGATGAGTAACATATTAATTGGTGTGCTGAATAACAAGAACAGCAAGCAGCATTAATAAGTCAGGTTACATGCCAATGCTGTTTATCTACACATGGTTTCCTCTAGGGGAAAATACATAAAATATTAGCTCTAGTGCATAAAACTATAGTACAATACACATGCAGACCTTAATAAATAAAACAAACTGCAGACAATAGGTATTTAAGGGTTGAACTGAGGAGAAAGGTAAAGGATACACAGAGATGTGAAGTGGTCTTGGGCTAGTAACATGTTATGGAAATTGTATTGAAACCTTAATGGTAAATTGATTTTCCATACATTGCACTGATAGATTTTAAGAGACAGTATACAAATTATGGGAGACCATGTATTAGCACATTTCCCAGATACAGAAGAGAAATTAATTGCATTTCCTGTGTAACCACTCAAACATAAATGTATAAACAACTGGTGGTCTCCTGCTCTCCCTTAATTACATCAATAACATCATTTTAAAGAAAATACACCATATTTATGCAAATCTTAGATGACCCTGAATTTAAAGCAACTCCCCAATAATTAAATTCTATACATGGAAAATTTATAAATATGTTATAATTTTTTTTCTATTTTTCCTCTCTCACTTGCAGCCTCCAGAATTTAAGGTCTAGGAAATTCTGATTCAGAGGCTGTACCTCTAACTCTTAATGCTCAATAGCTATGGCTGTCCCTTTCCTCCAAGAATGTGTTCAATCTCTTTTTGAATCTTGCTAAACTGTCAGCCTCTACAGCATCTGGTGGCAATGAGTTCCACACTTGAATTACACACTATGTGAAAAAGAACATCCTTTTCTTAGTTTTAAACTTATTACTTACTAGTTTCATTTTGTGACCTCCTAGTTCTTGTACTGTAAGAGAGTAAATAATAAATCTGTATTGACTTTCTCTTCACCATGAAGTATTTTGTAAACCCTTACCATGTCCCCTCTCAAGCGTCTCTTTTCTAAAATGAATAGGCTTGCTGGATGGCTTGCTCTTATAGGACGCAGGCAGAAAGGACATTCGTCATGCAATTGGCCCCTTGAAATCACTCTAAAGCCATGCCCAAACAGAAAAACATGGCTGCAGAGCTCCCCTGATAATGGAACAAATTAACCCTTATTATATGAGGGTTTAAATGAAGTTGCTCCTAAGTGCAGTGACTTAATTTCTGTCTGCCCTGGCAGCAGCACAGTGAGCTATAGCTGATGTCTCTGAATAGAAGTCCCTTCTTGGTTTTTCTCAGCTTCGCTAGAGTGGGGAGGCTGGTGGATTTGAGTCCCTCCCTCACCTTGGTGGGGGTGGGTCCAATCCACCAGTCCCCCACACACTCTAGCATGGCTGCGAAAACCCCAGAAGACATCCCTCCCCTGCCTTCTCCCTCCTCCTATCCAGATACAGCAACAGAGCTGGGGAGGAGGGGTGGAGCCAGGGGAAGATGCAACCTCTCTCCCTGCTGTTGGAGCCAGGAGAAAGCCAACTTGGAGCCAGTCTTCCCCACGCCCCTCCCCGGCTAACATCTGTTAGATTGGAAGAATTAATCAATTTTTATGAATTGCCATGAGTTAGACTCAGGGGATGCACTTCTGTCTGTGCCCGTTAAGTCGTACTTTACTCCTCAAATGATCCCATTAAAAGACAAGGGGACTCTTTCTGGAGTGAGATGCTACACAACATGCATGATATGCACCATCAAAATTCCCAAAGAAAAAAGTGCCAGTTTTTTAGAATTTTATGGAAGAAATATGAATAAGTGCTTCTCTTTACACTTTAATTTAAGCTGGAAAACAGAGCAGTATAACCGTCAAACCGCCAAAATCTCTGAAAAGCTTCTGTAGGTTCTGAATGTAGTTCAGAGACAGATCACTTGTGTTCAGATAAGGTTACAGGTTGATTTCAGAATCTGGTCCACAGTTGTGTTACCAGCATGCACATGCTCTAGCAACACCAGGAATTTCCATACTAGATCAGACCAGCAGTCCATCTACTCCACAACCTGTCTGATAGTAGCCAGAATGAGATGCTTCACAGGACGAACACTCCATAATAGATAGATGTGGAATAACCTGTTTCCACATAAGTTTCCAATCACTTATACCAATAAAAGTGTAATGTCTACCTGGTCATGTAGGTTTACTTTTACTTAAAAACTGGCTGGCCTGCCTACACCTTGACAACTCCCAGCCTTGCCTGTCTCTATTGAAAACATGAGTAGGTGAACAAATCTTGGAGGCAGACAAAGTCCGAGTTTAAATGTCTTTACTTTTATGCAGTTAAAATCAACCTGTAACCTTATCTCAACACAAGTGATCTGTCTCTGAACTACATCCAGAACCTGCAGAAGCTCTTCAGAGTTTTCTGCCAGTCTGATGGTTATACTGCTCTGTTTTCTAGCTTAAATTAAAGTGCAAAGAGAAGCACTTATTTTATTCATATTTCTTCCATAAAATCCTTAAAATCTGGCACTTTTATCTTTGTGAATTTTGATGACGCATACCGCTGATTACAAAGCATCTCAGCTGGTAATAGGTTCCCTTCATTTTTTTTCCAAATGCTGTTTTTATGTACTTTCATACAGAATCCAATTAGCATATCATTTTGACTGATTAAATATGTCTCACGTAAATTTACATGTCAAAATACATACTGTACTTAAACAAACAGACAAGGTTGCCAGTCTTCTGTAAACAGCTTTGCATGCATAAGTTAACTCAGACACACAAAAGCTCATATTTAAATTCTCAATGACTACCTGAAGAAAGATAGAGTGAGAGAGAGACAGAAAAGTTAATGTTACTCATGCATGAAGTGAGAGAATGAATACAGACATTTGTCTCTCTTTGTCTCTGAAGAAAACTATTGACAAGAGATTCCCCATCTGCATATGAGGCTGTCACGTCAGATTAGCTCATCAGGTAATGGAAATTTGGCCTCCGATCCAGAAAAGGTCCCTCTGCACTAAAAATCGAGACTGTTTCAAAGAGATTGTATTATCTTAGACAGCAGGATTAAATTAATATGGGAATGACTTCTACTGGAGGAAATTTTTTGTTAAACATGTGCTAATGTTTATTATGCATAGCATCCACTTCTCATAAACGATCTTTCTTGACACTTGCTCATTACTTTTTGACCTCCTTTGCATTGGAAGAAGCCCCATGTATAAAGTGTGCACACCGTAGCTTTAAAAAGCCTACCTGCACAGGCACACAAACACATATCCTTAAATGAGTGCTAGTAATAATAGTTATCATCTTCTCCTGAATGCTCATGTTATTCATCAAGAATGCCTTTTTTATCTAGTCACAAAGGGCTTAATGTATAAAGTGGACTTAGTGATTAAGGCACTTAATTGGAAAAGGGGACACCTGGGTTCCAGTCCCTGATCCAATGACTGTTTCACTATTTTACATTAAGTACTTAGTGTATAAGGGACTGGAAAGCAGGTTTTCCACTTCCCAGGTGAGTAGTTAACCTGCTGGGCTATCAAGTCATGGTCACTCATGTTCCTTCTTTCTCTGCTTCAGTGAATAATTAGCATTGCCATACAAAGTAGAGCAGCTTCAGCAAGGAAGACTACTGCCTTCTTTTTATTTTCTGTAAAACCAAATTCATTAGGCAGGTTCTGAGAATACCTACTGGCAAGTTAGGTAGAGAAACTCTGAATCTGAGAGTCCAGATAGAAGCAAGCGGACCTTTCCCTCCCGTTGCTGCGTTGTTGTGCAGGGACACAGATGCAGCTGCAGCTGGGCAGGGGCGAGCGTGGTGGGCATGTGTGTCTGCGGGGGCGGGGGTCAGGTCTGTGTGGGGAGGACCCCCATCCGCACCCCTGCTCTGGCTGCCACTGACAGCCAATGCAGCCAAAGCCAGCACAGCTGGGAGGGCCTCCCCCCTCCCCTCCCCTCCCTTTCCCAGCCCCTCCCTCCCCACTGCCTGCAGTGGCTGACAGCTGGTCCTTGGCAGGCAGCAGGGCTGAGCTGCGGGGCTGTGCTGGCCAATCAGGGGCAGCTAGCTGGCATTCTCTGGCAGCCTGCCCCTTCCTGCTGGCCTTGACCAGGGCAGGAAGCCTTGTGTCTGCCCCCACTCCCACCCCCACCAAAGGGTGAACTTGTGTGCTGTTCACTCCTCAACTAGCCTAGTCTGCTTAGAAAAACTTCTGTACATTAGTTCAAATCCACCTTGGGCTTTCTGAATGTCT